TGTAATCTATTCTAGTGAATTAAAACAAGCAGGTCGAAGTACGAGACGTCCTGTGAAAACTTTTGTCGACTAACTAGTTCTCCGCACTGTTTTTCCTCTCTCCCACGGACCGTCTTCTCAAATTTACTTTAGTCAAGCTAATATGGTAAACAAGCAGTAGACAACAGTCTAGTTTGCCGCACGAAGAGCCCCGAGTTACCTCTATTACGCATTGACGCTCTCTCCAACATTATACTCAATTATCACTTAGAAATTCAGCTCCACCGGTCGACCGCTTGTCTCGGTAGCGTCGTAATTCAAGTTGGAAACATTTTCTAACATATCTTAGTTGATAAGAAAAAAGCCCAATGACTTATTAACAAGCTTGAAATACACCCTTCCTATTTCTCCTTATTATAATCACTCTGAGCTTCTGCTTTAAGGGATGAGCTGCCAACACTCACAAGCATCATTTACCTACAGTTGATTGATTTTGCTAACTTATAACTGAACTTATGAGGCGATACACCTCTAGTGAGCGGCCAAGCCCTTCGTATATTTTTCTGTATGTGGCCCTCGGTGAAAAAAGTTTGGACACCCCTGCCATAAGACAACTCTGCTCCCTCGGAGATGCTCCAGGACACACCCTCACCACGCGTGTTTGGACAGGGCCGATCAGATTTCAGCCTCCGCCTGCGAGCGGCTGCAGAATACCAGGCGCTGCATTCCTCCGGTGGTCTGCTGGGGGGGGGGGGGGGGCTGCACAGAGGCTTTGTGTGGAGAGGGACCCTGACAGCATGAACTATCATCAGATCAGACTCCACTCGACTGTGGCAGATGCATAAACAACACAATTCTGCAGCCGACACACAGTGGATACAGCGTGTTGTTCAGCTAAGATGGTACTTTGACATCCAATTACATTTTAAATTGTCTTTTTTAAAATTGTTTTATTTTAACACTGTAGATGTTTTATCTTGTTCTGTATTAATTTAATAGTATTAGACTTACATACTCAATACTGTGGACAATCCCCACAGGAGCAATTTGGGGTGAAGTGTCTCGGGGACACAACGACATGCTGACTGCAGTGGGGTTTGAACCTGTGCTCCCATGATCCGAAGACCAAGTCCACTGCGCCACAGCCTCCCCTAATTATTATTATTATAATTTGTTGACAACGTTTGAAAGCTGGGAAGATTTAGTTTTCTACAGGGGCATCTTCTAAATTCCTTTGTGTATGGATGACCCAGAGTCCAAAGCCCAAAGATATTTTATATAATAAAAACATATATACTCGTGTATGACCTGAGGACCTTTGGATAAATCAATTAATCGATAACTGCAAATACATTTTGATTTAGACTAAATGTCAATAATTAGTGAATCGTTTCTATAAGTCTTTAGATGTCTTGTTTTTTTAGTCCATAACCCAAAAATATTCCATTTAATATGATTTGAAAAAGAGAAAAGACACAAAACTCCAGATTTAAGAGGCGGAATAACTCCTTTCTGAGATTATTGCGAGAATAATTTTACCCCTTTGAGCAATATTCTTGTATAACTTACTTTTTGGCTAATATTTAACCATTGATATCATTTTCAGCAATAACATCATCACTAATAATAATACACAGCTCCATATATTGTAATATACATTAGGGCTGCACGATACTGAAAAAAAATGACATTGCGATATTTTTTCCCACTGCGATATATATTGCGTTTTTTTTTAACTATATTTAACCGGATGAAGGATTTTAGTCACGGACGTCTGGGTCTTAACTGGCGTGTCTCTCCTGTTATGGCCGATACCTCTTACTTCTAAATTGAAGGTTTTCTTTTCGGTTGTAGACGTAGACCTTGATAATATATCGCTATGTTTTCACAAGAAGCAAGAGAAGTGTCTACTTGGGGGAATACAACTCCATTCGTTTTGACTTTGTACGTACATACGATACGTGTACAAGCTAGTCGCTGAATCGCATAGTACTTCATGTTG